GTGCGCTTTTCAAGTAGCCCGACTGTCACTTTATAATTTATATGATGTTGATGTGTACAGTACTAAAATAATATTGGCATAAAAAAACGCAAATTTGTACATTTTAAAGAAAACTGTAGGACTTAGGTGCTGGCCGAAAAGGGACAGTGGCCTAAAAGGGAACGGTAAGTTTTGGCCGAAAAGGGAAGGGTACATTTTGGCCGAAAAGATGATCACCCTGCGAAAAAGATTCAGACAAGAACATACGGAGTGGCAGACGGGGGGAAAGCGGTCGCCGGTCACCGTTTTCCATTACGACTGACAGACGGACCAACGGTCAACTGAAAATATAGCGGTTACCCACTCACGAATTATGCCGACAATGTATAATAGTCGTGAACCCTGAGTAGCCGTTTAACTAATAACTGCCGACTGATGAGTATTAAGGCACTATTACACTGTCTCCGTCTTTCGTGTAAATCGTGTGGTTAATCCGTTACCAAATAGTAAACAAATTCTTAAAACGTGCCACACGGTTACACGGAATACTGAGACAGTATATACTATTTCGGCGGGTTTCCACTATAGAAGTTTGCCATGTACACGAAAAATGTTCAGCTATGTCCATGGGCGTGTCTACGGTGGTAGCCTAGGAGGCCTGGGCTGCCCCTGCAATATTTGAAAGGTCAACCGAGTTTTAAGTCAGAAAAGTTACAACATTTCTTTTTTTTTTTTAAACTTGATTTTTTTGTGGGTAGTTATCGTTATAATTACCATTTACTTACAAAGATTGATTTCCTGACTTTCGAAATCGGAAAAACCTACTATAAAGACATTAGATAGACGACAACGGTACAGTATACGCATCTTGGTATTATTGATATTATTGTTGTATTATTTTTGATTTGTAGCTAGGTGGTGTAATCCGAGGCTGTCGATGAATAATATTTCTGAAGTCACTGTAGATTATTATTGTAAATAGATAATTTAGACTTTTTTTAAATTATATAAATATTTGATTTTGGAGGGGGGGGTGTTTAAAAAAAATACGACTTTGGGTGTATAGGGCTTTTTCAGTTCACTAATAAGATAGCGCCGCGCCGGTTATTAGCTAGGTTATTACCCTTGCCGATGAAGTCTAGTCACGCCTATGGCTATTTCTAACAACACGGTATCGTGGTCATCGTGTGGTTACTTAACCTAACCAACCAATCACAATTCACAACAAAGGATTTGTATGCACGTACACGAGTACGTGTATAGTGGAAACCCGCCTTAATAGCACCTGTAACGTAAACGGTAAACCGCATATTGTAGGATGCTGGTGGTCGTTCCGAGTTCCGACTGTGGTATAAATTCTGTGATCGCGGTTCACATTGTTTATGACGGCGGTATACTTGTGAGCTGGTAACCCCGATATTGTTCGTCGTTGGACGACGGACAGTCAATCTTAGGGAAAAGCTTTCATCGCTGGATGCAGTACAGTTCGTCCTTTCTATTTCAACTATTTTCGAGTCTTGTCCGCAAATGCATATAAAAGTGATGTTCAGGGTGATAATATTCCAACTAAACGAGTTTTGTAATTTTTATACGTTTATTTGGGCGATTGTAAGCTCTCCCAATGTAAAGTGTAAATTCTCCCGATGTAAACTCCCCAGGGTCTACTCCAGTACTATGACAGGAACATGTAATCTCTTCCGGGTCTACTGCTTCAGGACTACTAAATTTCATTTCAAAAAAGTAAATTATTTAATAATAATGATTAATACCTTTAGTTTCTGTGAGCTATAACAGTCGAAATAGGTACTAACAGTTTAAATTTAATTTTTATAATTTATACGAACATATAGATTTCAAAAAATTAAGGTTTATATTATATTATATATATATATATTATATTTTATATTATAGGTATATATTTGTTGGTCTTTATGGTCTATTATTTTTTTATTTATTTTTGTTATGATAGTTTGTACTATTTTATTTTGTTTATTGTAACTTTGAATTTTTATATAGGTACACTTCAGTTTGAAAATCTGTTAGGGCATTAATAAATATAATTAGAGATTAATGAGTACTAGAGAAATAGCCAATCCATTGTGTAGCATTATAACATTTAAAACAACTCGGGAGAGCTTTCCTTCAGGTAAACATAATATTGGCTCGGAGAGTTTACTAATTTTAAAAATCGGGAGGGTTTAAAAATTCTGGAGAAGTTGAATTGTTTCAATGACACTATTTTGTTAATTTGTGCAGTGTGTATCAAATAGATATGCATGCATAAAAAACGCACTTTAATGTTTTTTTTCCAAAAAAAACTGTTAAAGCTTGTATTATTAGTGTCTTTAACTTAAAAAAATAAATAAAATCTGTATAACCGCCTATCTTACCAGCGTAAAAGTTGATCGCTTTACTTACACAAACACAATGATTTACCAACCTAAAATTTTTATTTTTGTTTTATGATTTATGTAGATATATGTGGTTTGTTGTGCTAATGACAATAAAAGTATCAAAATTTAAATAAAAAGTTTGGTTTTTTTTTAATATTAAAAATACTAAAAGAGATATTTTCGTTACGTACCTACATAATATTATAGTTTCAACGGAGCGCAGCGCGTCGATTTATTTTGATACACATTGTAAATATTTCAAAAAAACTAAACCCTTTTAGAAAATTCTGGTTCTACTAACATTTTCAGTACACAAAAACACACCATACACGCACAAAAAAAAATAGAAAATATACTTTAAACGTAGGTACATTATTGTGTGAAGCGAGTAACATTTACAAGTTTAAGATAGGCAATTACGCAACCCTGCCCAATGACGTCAAGCATCTTTTTTCAATTCCTCATACCTCATAACTCATTGAATTATGTGAATTATTACATTCTTTCGAATCAAATTAACTTATTTTTTGTGTTTTGTGCTCCTTTAAGAAACTATATTAATGTTATATATTATTATACTGTAGTACTGTACACATAACTTATAAGTACAGTTTACACTGCCGGTTAACTACAATTTTTTTTTTTTTTAATATTAATGTTATAGTATTTAAGTTCAAATAAAGTAATATAGTATAATAGCATACCTATTATATTAATTTCATATTTAAAATTAAAAATATTTATTCCTGATGAATGAATTTAATATGAAATCTAATTATTAAAAGTGGGAGTGGATGTCGCTCTGCTGTACAGTAGGACAAGTGGTCACTGTAATGGTTTAAATTTGAATTCAATGATACAACTATTGTATAGAAAACGATTCTGAGCGAGACGGTTGTCAGTTAGGTAAACAAATATATCATATCTTGGTATTAAAAAAAAAGACTATATATTCCAAATTATCATATCACATTATCCAATATCCATTGGACTATACATGTATACATCAACATCAATAACAAACCTGATACTATCATAGATATATAATAGTACACTTGAATTCAGTAGGATACCCCGTACCCCGAATAATTAATAATCACAAAATAACTAGGTTTTTATATGAATTTAGTCCAAATTTGAACATAAATGACTTAAAAAAAACTGTGATTGTATATTTTAGATTTTCGGTAAAGAATAACTACTTACGTAGAATCTGTTTTAAATTTTCATCCTAGCTATAAAAACTGAACATTTTATAATTTATTAATTACGATGATTAATAATTTTCGAGATTTTGAAAAATTCTGTCAAAATTCGATGTTAAAACGCTTATAAAAAAAAATTGTGCCTATGTATTTTTAATATTTTTCAACTGATATTTTAACAATATATCAGGAGCCTTGTATTAAATTTTTACACTTTTTGGCCCAACAGATAAAACTTAATTGATATTTATAGAAAAAAAAAACTAAAAAAATTGAAAACTGAAAATGTCCGTAAACGGCTCAAAAAGAGTCAAAATATTTTCAAAATTGTATGGTGTATAGGAAATGCTAATATAAACATTCAGTGAAATTTTCATGTATCTACAGTAATTCGTTTTTTAATTACAACAAAAAAAGGAAATTGCCACATGAGAAATCGAGTGAATATCCAATGTTGTAAAAATTTGAATTTCAAACGCTCATAAAAATTTAATTTGACTTTCCGGTAGAGATTTTTTTATTGATAAAGGTAGACAATCTTATGAGTAATCTTGTATTAGATTTTCAAATCTTAGATTTAAAAAGAAAAATTTTTACGAATTCTTAACTCAAAATAATTTGCTAATTTTCGTGATTTTTCCATATTTTGTCAATTTTTGAACTTTAAATGCTTATAAAAAAAAATTTTGACTAAGGATTTTTAATATTTTTCATCTGCCTTTGAAACAATATATTAGGAGCCTTCTATTAAATTTTCAAGCTTTCGCAACCAACAAATAAAATTTTATTGATATTTCTAGAAAAAAAACTAAAAAAAAAACGAAAAATGAAAATGTCCCTAAATTGTTCAAAATAAATCAAAATATTTTGAAAATGTTATCGTGTATAGAAGATGCAAATATAAACAACCAGTGAAAATTTCATGTATCTACGGTCATTTGTTTTAAAGTTACACCAAAAACCAGAATCGATTTTTTGGAAAACCGATTTTGCGTAAAAATTCCCGTTTTTCCTTAATTTTTATGTTGTTTTTCCCGGCGCTCTTGAAAACTACTGGGAAATTTAAATTTTGACCTCCCCAATGCACCAACGATATTCACTTTCCAATCGAACAAGATACTGAAGTCGAAAATCGAAGCATTATTTCGACTACTTATCGTGTACACAGACACAAAAAAAATAAATATAAAAACACACATTATTGTAAAATCAATACATTCATCGTTTCACTCAGAATCTAAAATTGATTTGGCATTTTCCTGAAAATAGACAAAAGTAGTATTGTATGATTTATGAACTCATGTAGATAATAAATAATCAATGAAACTATTTTGTTAGACAACAATGGCTTATTTTTATTTAATAAAACAATAATATCGTGGAAATTGTATTATAATTTACAACCATCAGTCATATTCATTATTTATATATGGCTTATTATTTCTGGACTAGCGTTTGATACATCCGGTTGTTGAACCACCACGTCTTCTTCATCATTTGGATACAAATTTTCCGATCTACAATTATCATCTTGTTTGTTAGACAATTCACCTGTGAAAAATGGAAATCAATTTATGCACAACCTGCTCTACCTTACGGCCATTTAGTCAGTTTAAGATATAATTTTGAACATTTACTTTTCTTCAATGACTTCGCGCTAGACGACCGATTAGGTTTTAACGGACGGGTGGTACCACTACCACTAGCTCCAGCTGAATTTGACTTATTACTAAAAATAGATCGTTTCATTTTTGCTGTGCCAGATTCGTTTTGAATAAACATTTCAGTCGAGCTAATGGTGGTAATGGCGGTAGTGGTATTAGCGGTGGTCGTTACGGTTTCGGACAAATTCCTATCATACTCTCTGGACTTGGCCCTGAAAAGCGGTGATCGCGATTTGACCGATGGCATTGGTTCTGCTTGTATTTTTGTCTGTAATGTCGGGGCGACTTTATTTCGGAATGCAGTTGGCTCAGGCTGTGGTTGAAGCTCAGGTGGTTCGTACTCATCATCGGACTCACTTCTGAGTGGTATAATATACGATGTACTCCCCATTTCAGTCGTCGGGTTTGATGACTTTGAATCAAAACTATCCTGCAGACATACCGATTCACAAATTATAAGTTCTGGAGAGCTGGTCATAAATTAATCAAGTCACATTTATAGTTTCATGGCCGTTGAGCGCTGAATGTAATGGTTATACATTATTCATCCTTACTTCTCCCACAAAGATACTTATAAATAATAAATTATAGCCATTGACTTAATCGCTTAATAATAAATTGCAAAGTATAAAGTTTGTTGCTGATAAATTCTTTAATTTTTATACTACTATATAGCAAATGCTTTTATAAGTTTTACATATTTATGTTACTTATAGGATCTGTCTATTATAATTTAGAAGTTTCTCATTAAAATTATAATTTTGTTTGATATTTATTTAGCTGTTTAGGTTATTTTGTAAAATATTTAATCTATATAGGTACACTTTCTACTGCACATTTACTCTATTACTTCTTTAAAAGTACCTCTGTATGACTGTATTTATTAATATTACGAATACAATAGCCATTCGCCATTAGATTTATATATAATATGTGTTGTTAGGTTTATAATTAATTAATTTCGAGAGCATTAATTAATAAATTCAAAGATTAAAATTTAAAATATAAGCGTTTTACCCGAAAATATATATTATTTATTCATATGGTTTCTACCTATAGGCACAGTATATCCTCCTTATAACGGACTCCCTATATGGAAATCTAATTAAAACAGAAAATAACAACAGACCCGTATAACCTATATCCCGTATATTTTGGTTTCTCTATAACAGAAACTCCTTTATGACGGAAAAATCAGTTAGTACTGAGCGATTCCGTTATAAGGAGGTTTTACTATACTTAAAGTTGAAGAACCGAAATTGAATTTGGGTTAATTGAAAAGTAATAGGTATTATTAAACGCATAAAGATAATTTATTATACACAAATTATGACCAGACATTATATTTATATTGTTATAATAGATAAACAAAATATGCAATTAAATTTAATACATAGAGGTATAGTGTAAATTGTAAAATGTATAAGGTACCTACAAAAATATAGTTTTCATGTATTTTGTAGTTTTTCAGTCATATTAAATAAGTTAATTTATTAAAAAAGTTTTAAATTAAATGAAACAATTAACAAATCATTCCACGCCTAGCAATAATTATTAAAATAATGTAATAGTAAATTAATTGAAAAATATTTAGTCTGTAGTACCTATTGTATAGTATTAGTAATCATAACTTATACTTAGACAATTTTCATTTAATTTTGAATCATCATATATTATGTTAGAATAGGTACCTATAACTAGAAGCCGGAATAATATTCTCTTAAAAAGTTTAAAATATTCTTCCAATATTCTTTAAAAATCATAATAAAAAAGGCAAAAAAAATATACTTTTATATTAATATATTCTCTTGATGTATTTTTAATTAAGACAATTTTTCATTGTTATCTACCGACTATAAAATTACTACCTATATGGGGTATAATTATGGTATAAACAATATAAATCACTATTATCGGGCATATAATTTTTATTAATTACGCTACTGCAACACAAATATCGAAAATCCGTAAAATTAATTGATATAATTTCTAATAATTAATATTCTTTATTATACGACATATTCTCAAATATGCAAAAAAAATTGTTTGCCATTAATTTACACGTTCCATGATTTGTAAAGATTTCAAACCCCCGTCTGACTGCAGACTCAAAAAAAATATGCAAAAGAATATAATTCCGGTCTCTACCTATAACTAAAAATTATTAAAGAAATCAACATTATTTGATTAATAATTAAATTATTAATTTACAAGTTATGATAATCTGTCTTAAAAATTAATATATATAATTGAATGGACGTATATAAACAAAATCTTACTATGACTTTGTTAATTCGCCTGAACGGATTGCGTTTGGTAGACCTCCGGTGCGGTGCGTTAAACGATAGTAAATATGAGTCGTTTGAATTCTGTTGATTTTTTTTCCACTCTTCGATCTTCTTATCCACTTGAGCTTTATACTGTGCCATGTCTTCCATGACACGACGGTTGAGCGTATCATATAGCCTTACAATATGTAATACCAGCCAACTAAGTCAAATAAACAACTTTATACCTCCTGGTAATATTATACATAGACATATACCTAGTCAATTATTAGAAATGTACATTAAAACCATTTTTACTATATTTTCATATTATTCATTAAAGTTATATTATACAACTCATATATTACCTCAATTGAGATTAATTTCAAGTTATATATTATATAGATTATAAGATATTTAAAAGTAAAATATTAGTTTAATTTTAATGGATTTAAAAATTTACCTAAATCCGCTATCAATGCTTGGATCAATAAAAGCAGAACTACAGTAATTAATAGGTGCCGTATGAAGAGCAGTACATGTTTCTACAAGTGTTGGACACTTATTTGTATTTACTACAGCTTCTACATTTAATCGATCTACTATGTCCAACTCATCTAGCGCCCCTGGTTTGTCTTGCTTATTGGCAAATCTAATAAAATACAATTATTAGTCAAATCATAAAAATTAATCTTTTTTAATCTTACAATAGCACAGGTTTTCCGGCAATATTTTCATGCCCAAGTAAATTATGAAAAACCTCTTTACATTCATCTAACCGACTAAGATCCGAAGAATCCACCACAAATATTACACCGTGTACCTAATAATTTCCATTCAAATTATTATTCAGGTATATATTGATAAGTAGTTGATGATTATACATTACATCAGCAAAATACTGCTTCCATATATCTCTGATTTGTTTGTGACCACCTAAATCGTAAATAGTTATAGCGTTGTCGTGATAATTACATTTGGAAGACGAAAATCCAACAGTAGAAAGAATATTTTTTTGCTTTTCTAAAAGACAATAATTTTATTTTATATCAACAAATAATTGTATAAGTACTTTATAATTATCAATTTAAGATTACCTTTCATAATACTTTTAACGGTACAAGTCTTTCCAGCGTTGTCCAAACCAACCAGGAGCACAGTAATTTTTCTAATACACATAGAAAAGTCACTAACAATTATTTTTAGAACTATATAAAATATCTACTTATAAAAATAAATTTAAAATAAAAACTGTCGTACACACATAAAACTATACACAAATCCAACTGAATTCATGAGTTCACAAACATTCAATACTTTGGGATTGATGGTAAGATTATGCAAACGGTTCAACCCCATCTTGCGACACCACAACGAAAAAAAAATACTTAGAAATTAACATATATATTCAAATAAAAAAATAGTTTGTTAGTTAAACTTAAACATTATATATTTTATATTTATCTAATATTATCACATTATCCACACTTACCTTATACCAATAAATTATAATTTTATACGATGAAACACTAATAAGATGATTCATTTTTAACCGTAAGTGTATTATTACCATTTACGTATTCATAGTTGAATAATTGTGTACCGTGATTCGTTGATGAGCAAAATGGCCCATGGGTAACCTGCCAACCTGGTCATTTCTGGTGGCTAATAGGTTGCTTGAATAAAAAGTAAAATGTTTAATTGTTTATTGGTCGTTTTGGTATTGACTGTTTTGAGATGGTTGACGTGATTTGGTTGAAATTATAAATTATTTAATATAAAATGAAAATGTACCTACTTGGAATGTTATAAATTGAAAGTACTAAGTATCGGTATGCGTATGACGGTATGATTTTTGAACTAAAAACTACGTCTAATCAATTATAGTGTTCTAAAGATCTAAACCACTGACTAATGATTAGTGAGAACTCAAAAATAGATTTTCTGCACTAGCTTAATTCACGGCGTACCAAAATCATAATATAAGGCCATAATATTGTCTATGTGTGTAATATAATATAGTAATATAGGTATATATTAATGTTCATTTCATTAAACTTGTATTCCAAGTAGGTAATACCTAAATCTTACAATAATGTGTTATTTTAATTTTTTTTTTGTCTGACGTCACTTTTGGGAGTAGTTACAAAGCTACAGTTTTCAACTTAGAGAGTGGTTTTTAGCAGAAAATTGAACCTAGTCAATACTTTGAAAAATCCCATTACTTTTTGAAATTAATGATTTTTTCGTATTTCAAAAATAAATTACCGTTGTACTTAAAATTTAAAGTGTTCACAAATTATTTATATTAGTATTTTCTAAACATGATAATATCATATAATAATATATTATAGGTATTATTATCTTCAAATGTGGTTGTTTTTAATTCATTTAATTTGATGAGAAATTTAAAATGAAGTTTGACTTTTTTTGAATATAATATGTTGAGGAAATATTTATTTTTTAGGCAAAAAGGTTGAAATGTACAAATTATTTTATATGGATTATTAACTCTGGTAGTCTGGTACCTATGGCTTAAAAATGTAATACATAATTTTTTTATCCAGATAAACCTAATTAGACTAATTTTTATCGCATATAGATAGATATTTATAATACCTATAACTTGATGTTAACTTGAATTATTTTGATTAACTTTATGTAACTTCGTAGTTCGTATATACAGCTCGTACAGCTATTATAGGTTACAACTTAGGTTAGATAGTTTTGTAAATTTGTCAAGTATATATTATATTAATAAGCTGATAGGATAATACATCAACTATATTGGATTAGAATTATAGGGCTATAGCTGCTGCCTGCTACAACCAGAAGACGCAATTTTCTTAAATTTTACATGCATAAAGATCTTGAAAAGTTATTATTTTTATTATTTTTTTAAACTATAATTAGGTAAGTATAAAAATGTAAAATAATAATCATACCATTCCTATCTATGCATATTTTTACATAGGTAAAAATATAAGTTTAAATTTCAGAATCTTTAATAATCATAATATGTATAGCTACTTGCGGCATCATATTCTACTGAATATACTTAGGTATGATAATCAATACCAAATGATATGTAAACAGTTTAGTTTAAAAACCCTGACCTGAACTATACACAACTAACATGTATATCGAACACACAAAAATGACATTGAAATTGAAATTTTGGAATAAAAACTATAATTTATCTGTCATTCATCCGAGGCATCAACACAGGCACTAACCGAATCCTAATCAATTTTATATTAAACGCCTTATCATTATGCAATATCATTACCTGCGTTGCCGTTGGTCTGCGTTCGCACAGTCTATACATTTAAACCGCAATACGTTGCCCATAACCACAGCTGTCAAAACATGTTTATTTTTTCACCCAGATACTTTGGATACTTTATTTTTTTCTTCATAAAATAACACTCTTAAAACTTAAAATGAATTTTCACATAAGCGTGAAATAATAATATTAAGCGCGGTTCACGGTCTAGGCGATGACAACAAACGGTAACCTCGGCAACCGGCCCCGGCGGTAGAGGTTAGGACCGCAGTTTCACCCGTCGTCGGTCACAAGTACGATAATAATAATATACGGCATACGATAATATTATTAATATTACGGCGAACGAAAAATATTGTGCTCGCCCGCCAGCCTTGGACGTGCGGCTGTACCACTGGTTGCCCGCACTGGTACCTCCGCGGGGCCGGTTTGACCCGTTACCGTGTCGGCCGTGTAGAGCAATCGCTGGCGGCCGTGGCTCATTATCGCGGCCATATTCACCTCCAACGAGATCACCGCGTACCAGGGGCACAGCCGGCTGTGGCACTCGTTCGTTCGACGGTACCGCGTGCGTCGCCAACACAGTTGTCCTGTGATGTAGAGGCGGTCGCGGTGCACGCTTCGAGATACCACTCACCGTTACAACGCGTATAATATTATTATGACGTGTATTCATCTCTGTCCGTCTAATTAGAGCGATATAGCAACACATTTAAACTGTAACGTCTAGGGGAAAATATGAGTTCAAGCTTCATTACTGATTTCAGGAATATTTTCGTGATTATTTATTTTATAATATCAGAGCCATTCAGAGGTACAATTTATGGTATGATAATATAGTATAAGAAAACGTATAAGAAAACGTAAAACGAAGTAACTCTTTCATTAAACAGTATTTTACAAAAAAATATATGATATAATTATTATCCTCTTCAATTTTGGTGATGGGTGTTACATCTTTAACACTACAGATTTACCTAGACACCACAATTTATATCTTATGTAGTAGAATTTTGATTAAGGGAAGGGGGTAAATGATACCTTTGTTCCACTCATCCCGCTACAATTACTCAACTGATTATAGCCTATCAGTTATAATATATCATAGCATTAATAATTCCGTCTGGTTGTCAATAAACAAGAGATGTTAAATGTCGTTTGTACCTACCTGTCAACTTATAAATTATAAAATTGATTATAATATATTCATGTATTATAAATTATTATATTATATGTATGATATGGTATACAGGCTACAGAATATTATTGTCATTTAGCCGTCGCAGTTTATACTTTAAAGTGTGTTGTGCGTATGACACTATGACCACTATGAACAGGTATGAAACTATGAAATATAATGTGTCAGGCGTCTAAGCGTCAAAATACATCAAGAACATGTTCAATTGAAAATTAAAAATGTCAGCCTATGATATTACCAAGTATATTTGATGATATTATTGTGAATAAAGTAATTTATATATAACCTTTTTAAGTGGAAACTTGTTTTTAAATTTTCAATCCTTAGCTATAAAAGTTGAACATTTTATACATTTTTAACTACAAAATAATTATTACATTATAAATTTGATACATTTTGTCAAAATTCGACCTTTAAATGCTTATAAAAAAAATTGTGCTAATGTATTTTTAATATTTTTCAACTGCTTCTGTAACAATATATTAGGAGCCTAGCATTAAATTTTCAAGCTTTTTTACCCATCAAATAAAATTTTATTGATATTTATAGAAAAAAAAACTAAAAAAATTGAAAACTGACGATGTCCGTAAACAGCTCAAAAAGAGTCAAATTATTTTAAAAATTTTATCGTGTATAGAAAATGCTCATATAAACATTCAATGAAATTTTCAAGTATCTACAGTTATTCGTTTTTTAATTACAACAAAATAAGAAAATCGTTACATGAGAAATCCAGTGAATATCAAATGTTGTAAAAATATGAATTTCAAACGATCATAAAAATTTAATTTGACTTTCTTGTAGACATTTTTTTTTTTTTGATAATGGTAGATAAACTTATGAGCAATCTTGTATTACATTTTCAAATCTTAGATTTAAAAAGAAATCTTTTCATGAATTTATAACTCAAAATAATTTGCAAATTTTCGTCATTTTTATGTATTTTGCAAATATTTGAACTTTAGATGCTTATAAAACAAAATTGTGACTAATTTTTAATTTGTTCATCTTTGAAACAATATACTAGGAGCCTTCTATTAAATTATCAAGCTTTTTTAACCAACAAATAAAATGTTATTGATATTTATAAAAAAAAAAAACTAAAAAAATGTAAATTGAAAATGTCCGTAAACATCTCAACATTTCAGTCAACATTTCATGCACCTATACGGTCATTTGTTTTAGAGTTGCACTAAAAACCAAAATCGATTTTCTCGAAAATAGATTTTGTGTACAAATTCCCGTTTTTTCTTAACTTTTCTTTTGTTTTTTACGTCGCTTTTGAAAACTACTGGGAATTTTAAAACTTGACCTCCCGAATGCACCAACTTAGTTCATTTTCCTATCGAACAAGATACTGTTAAAGAAAATCGAAGCAGTTTTACTGCCCAAAACTATTATGACAAACACAACAAAAAAAAAAAAATAAAATACACACATCATTGTAAAATCAATACATTCATCGCTCAGAATCTAAAAGGACATGCAAAAATAATCCAAAGGGGGGTGAGCGCCTCCTCCACCCCCCCCCCTAAAAACCGCCACTGCCAAATGTGCATATGAGTACAGATATTATGTATATATTTGAACTTGGTTAGGCTGTTAACAACGTGCTAATAATAATAACAACGCGTGCATATTATTATTATTATTTGGTAAGAAATCCATCCGAACTGCGAAGAAAACAAAAACGTGTGGGCGACAGTCGAAAAGAGAAAAAAATATTATTAATACGATAGCGTTTCGTTTCTTGTACGCGATGATATTGATCAACGTTTTTTGTTCGGTGTGCGCGCCCGGCGCCGAGCTCGAGTGCGCGCGTGTGTGTGAGAGTTTAAATTATCATGGTTGTTATTGTGTCGGAGTGGCTCAAAGTTTTCTAAGACTACTTTTTCCATAACCTGTTTTGATGGTTTTACTTTTCAGAGTGGAATAAAAATGTCGAGTCAGACATCTTATATGATAAATTTACTGCAGGAAATTAGTCAACATTTGAAATGTTATGGTGAGGGATAAAATCTTCCACGTGTATGAGTAGTTAAATAGTAAGAATAAGAAATTCCCCCTTAAAATGTATTGGCCATTGCCCATTGGGTATGGGTGGTTTACCCTGGTTAAGACTTCTAAAGTTCTAACACCACTCTTAAATCGTAATGTATAATAAAATAATATTATATACCTACCTAAACTATAATGATTCATGAATAACATACTAGACCATGTTTTTTTTAACTACCCAGTACTTATTTAATAACAATCAAGTGTAATACTTTTAACTATAATGGCCTTTACTGCCGATTTGTTTTAAAGATCAATAAAAAAAAATTATTACTAGTGATTGCTTTATTGGGTATTACCTAAATTGTGTAAATGTATGAAATATGAATAAATTCAATAAAAATATTATATACTCGGTATAAAATTGTAATTTCATTTTTATGAATAGTTAACAGTATTTGTGAACGACTACATTATAAGTTTAGAAAAAAGGCCGTTAAGTTTTTGGATCTTATCCAAATCCATAATTTCACGAACTAATGAATTTTAAACCAACGTTTTATATTATGTTCGATTTATATTTTATATTGTTTATGTAAATTTGGGTTTGTTTTCTTGGATCAATAAATAGTTTTTCCCTCTTTTATGTTTTATCTGTAGCCTGTAGGTGAATCCATGTATCCCAATAATTCCCAATTCCCATTTCCCTGCAGCGCCGTACACATACGCAATACTATACGCATTTGGCCCGCATCCAAAAAACTAAAGAGTCGCGTTTCGGAAAAATAACTGCGACTATCCGTGTTTTATTACAGAATAGTTGTAGTTATCGAATAATAATTTTTAGTACGGTGTCATCGTAAATTTTAACTACCTACTGCAGTTCCCTACGCTGCATGTCGTTTCTCTACACTATGTAATTTGTTTTGTGTGCCGGTTAACAAATTGTTTTGAGATGGTGATAACGACAACAATTAATAACGGCCGCAACGGTGTGTACATTAATAATATTATTAATAATAGTACACAGTACATAGTAGTATAGTACACACTAATAATGTTCGTGTCAGCAGCGAACGTGTGTTACCGTCTACCGAACAGGAGCGCCGCGCCTCCGCCGCCGCGAGCGTTTCCATCGAGGTGTTCGTGTCGAGTGACGATGTGGGTCGTTTCGGCGGGTCACACTTGGCTGAAGAAATGCGAGCGATTGTACCAGGGTATCAGTCGGCGGCGGCGATTACTGCCAGGCGTGGCGCGCGCTCGACGCGCCAGCTGAGTGTGTGCAAGACGGCGGCTGCGGACGGCTGTTATGATAATAATAATAACAATAATACAATACAATCACACGTCGATATATACCCGTCAGAATGCGACGGCGACTAGCTGGTCGAATTTTTTCACCCGGTTACCATTTTACCACGGTTTTCGGGAAATTGGAATCGTCGTTTTCGTGCGTTTTCCGCAATTTTTTTAAATCCACTAACAGGAGCCCATGCGGCAGGACAGCTCCGGCCGATAGCGGTGGCCAGGTCGGCGTCGGCGCGCCCGGGAAAGCCAGCCAGCCAGCCACCCGGCGACACGGACCCACCGCTCGTATCGCCACCGTCTCTACCGACGACGCCACGATCGCGGTTTCCCGGGCCACGCGTGGTCTCGAGATTTTCCATTGCGGTATTTCAACACACAAACACTCGAGAGCGCACGCTCACAGACACGCGAAAACGATCGCTTTATACGACACGACGTCGTGCGTCGTCTCCGCAGTGTTAATAGAATAATAATAATATAATATACAATAAAACGGAGTCTCGCTATCACCTGTCACTGTCAGTGTGTCACCGCCGTCTAATAGTGGCTCAAATTTAATTATCCCAACAAAAAAATTGGATGGGTGCCGGTTAGGTAGGATTAACCCAATTCATTATTTTAATATCACCATATTAATGGTTATTGACAGTTGCAGTTGATTGAATTATAGAAATCAGCAGCATTCTGGTAGATAACCGTAGCTTCTACGCTTTAATACAGCCATTGAGCCATGCAGGCATGACTGTATGCCGCTACAGCTATACTGAGCAGTAAAATAAAATAAAATATACTTAAAATACTTCTTGGGTGTGTGGTGTTCGTTACACAACATGTAACTTCATAACATATGATTCTAAGCAAAAAATGTTCGATGTCGCCACCGCCGCCGTCTAGTCTTATCTCGTTGGTAGTTTTTTGTATCTTATTCTTTAATGCACAGCGCGAAACGTCGAGTTAAATGCGATTCCATTTGTAACACTTGTATAGACAACTATACATCATATTATTATTATTATTAATATAAACTTACTGTAGAAGGAAAAGACAAACCGATGCGATTTAGAAATCTACATAATATTTTGTTTTTGTCGCCACACCGTACTTACATACTCCAGAGTGCAGATATATAACAAAAATACATTTTGTGAAATGTTTATGATAATAATAGTATATCTCAGATTACAAACATTGGTATAAAAAACTAATAAGTCGTTTACTTCTGTCGAATATACTTAAAGCTTTAAAGCCTACATTGGCTATACAGTGCGCATCAGTGGCGTATTTTCGAGGGGGGGGGGGGTCTCGACCTACCCAGAATAGATTAATATGGAATAATATAATAGTTTTTAATTTATAACTCATATTATGTATTTTTATAATATTATACACTTACTTATTTTTTAGAGCCCCCACAAACAATTTGAAAATACTCCACTAATAGTGCCTAATGCTTATGTATCCTTCAGAGCCCAATTGTTAAGTCTATAAATAAAGATCACTCTGCAGGCTCTATACAGCACCGGGTTTCTGATCACCAAAATGTATAGATAATATAAGTATAAAAGTATAAATGTATAATGGAACGGATAATTAGGTTTATCGCAGTGACGCATTTCCTATATTATTAACAACAATTTAAAATTTGTTTATTTTAGATATTTTCAATAGTATTGTACCCGGCTATTAAAATTTAACATATAGAATTTGGGCGAACGTTATAGATAGGTATCTAGTTTTAACTGTATAATCGAATATTCGTATTTACTCATTACGTATTAGTTGCAACTATTATAATAATTATTGTAACATCGATTGGGTAGACTGGATAGATTATTATTCCGCATCGAAGCCATATAATATTATCCTATGAAAAACTTTATAAAATACAAGGTATATAATACTATTTGTTATTATAAAGGATCTAAATAATATATTGTATAAATGTATAATGCGTATGGTGGCGCACACTAATTTTCTGTAAGGTGTGTCAACTTTTTTACGATATACCCATCGGATATTAAATATATATACAAAAAAAGTTTTAATCAATTTTGTTATATTAAGAAGGTTCGTAATAGTTATTAGTTCAACAGCATAATGAAATACTCCACCAGTGGTCTAGACTCTAGTTACCCACCACATATTTTGATAAAGGGGTCTTGACCGGCTGTATAATACCCTTTGTATAATAGTACGGAAATTAATTATAACATCATTTCTATTAAAAAAAAAAGTTGATGATATTTTTATCATTCTTACTATTGTTTGATAATAACTTATATAGTTATATATAATATATAAGCTTTAATTTCTGCAAGTTTGTTTTGTACATAGTGAAAATAAAAAGTGTTAATATTATATAATAATTGTCTAGTTAAAAGAAAAATTAACCTTTGTAACTTATAGACGGATGTTAACACGTTCAATGTTCATGTTAGCCTACCAGATGGCAGAAACCCACCAAACTTTGTACATGTTTCAGTTGTTTTGCAAATTTAAACAACAAAACTATAATTAAAATATGTTTTACTTTTTAATACTTTAGTTAAAACAACTGAACACAAAATTTATTTATCATTGCAACATTATTTATTATTTATTATTATATTTAAAAAAATAAATTACAACACGATGAATGCATTTTTAGTTTTGCCAAAATCGTAGTAATATCCAATTTTTGTATTATTAACTTATATGCTTAATATTTTTAAAATTAAATAAAATTACAGTATAGGAAAATTATATTATATATAATATAGAACTTATTTCTGGTCAGGTGGGCTGCTGGGCTCGACTACTGGGAGCCTTTCTATTAATGTTATTTTAAGTCTTATGTTCTTAAGTCACACCACACTTACTCATTATACCTTGTCTGTTGTATAGATTTTAAATATACTTTTTAAAATAATAATAAAAAAAAAATATGGAACTTTATATTATAATGAATAATGATTATAATATGTTTATATATATTATATTTAACTGGACTGAAGTAGGTATAGCCGGTATAGGTAATAGGTATATATACTATACTTAATATTATTTAGCATAAATATGACTTTTTCTCTGAAATGAAGTTTTTTTTATAATTTACTTATATATACGTATATTGTTTGTTCACAATTACATTCTTATACAAATTACAATATATTTATTTTTTTTATAATAAATTAATTTATATTCTTTTTAAAAATTATACACTGAAAGGTTAAAACATGAGAAGATTTTTATTGTTATATTATTAATTATTTTCATTTTTATACTTAGTTAAATGTAGTTAGTATAGAGTAGTTCTAGTTAATAAACTATAAATACTGAAACTAATGCATCTTTATATAGGTATACCTATGTATTTTAATAAATAATTTAAATCGGTTAACCATAATATTGTTTATATTAAAATATTGTTTTTCAGGAATTATTTATTTTTTGAATCAAAATGAAACAATATAAAATAATATATGAAATTTAAATATTTGCTTATAATTTGTAAATATTATCGTATTTATACGGCTATATAGGTACTTATTGCACACATCATATATGTATTATACAGGTCTGTATTGATATAATATGTACCTATATATAGGCTATTATATAATATAATCTAGGTATGCATACACTATATTATACAATATATACATTTTATTATGTATTTATGTTTAACTAGTAACTATATTTACAAATGTCAAATACAGTGTATTATAATATGTATTTTAATTTTCTATTTTATGTCGTGTGTGAATCACTGTATCATGTATGTATAAATTTAATAAATACATAGGTATACCAATTTTAGAATAAGAATTTGAATATACTATATTATATTGATTTTTGTATGAGAATAATGTAATTTACCCAACAATGTACAACTCGGAATACTTGAAATCGATGTATTTAACAAGTATTGTACCTTCTCCTTGAAGTCATATTACCTAAAGGCACTCCAATTCATTTTATTTTTGAGTACATGTTGAGTAAATTGGCAATTTAATACTGAACATTACTATTGAATACATTTTACGTGTTCCAATAGGCAATATTACTATACATAATACATATTAGTATTTTAATTAATGGTACGTCGTTTAGTTGTTCGTAATTGACTCTATCACTCTGAACTCTGCATAGAGTATTTTACTCTTGTAGTTTTATAGCTAGTGCATGACTACTTAGAGTGATGATATATTATTATAGTATTATAACACTTATTATATAACAGTATATATATATAATTTATCATATTATATTATACACTAAAATATAAATAAATAATTAATTACATAATTTATTGTAAATAATAAGTAGTATTTTAATTTTACGCCGAACTGTTTTTTATTTTTGCAGAGTACCTATTCATGTATAATAACAACAACAACAATAATAAATAATGAAATTCATAATAATTGCACATATTTCAAAAGCTCAAAAATAACTACTCAAATATATAGATACTCCTGTGCTGAAGACTGTATACAATATACATATTATTGTAATATTTGACTGTAAATTATTTATTTATCATATTATATTGCCTATTTGTCCATTACTATATACCTAGGTATTATTACATTTCATACATTTGAAAAATTGCATTTTATAATATACAAATAATATTTTCCATCTTTCTTTGTGAATTTAAAATAATATCTACTATAATAAAATAATAGAATTTATAATGTTGTTCAATATGTATAAGTTATGATATAAATATATATTTGAGTTATTAGTGAAAATATTCAAAGTTCGTGGTTAATACTGTAGTATTTTTTATAGGGTTGTATAATGTTTTATAATGTTAGTAATTATATTATTTACCCTTACTTACCTATACTTTGACAGTTTGACGCACTTATTAGTTATTATGTGATATTATGAATTATGTAATATTATGCGGACTTATCATATACTCATAAATAAATTATAATATACTGAGTTAGGTGTTTCCATTTAAAAATCGGTAGGTATTGATCTCGTAGTCGTGGGAGGGAGTAATATTTCACCGTTAATTTATTGTTTTTATACCTACGCAGTATGGCGCAATAACGAATTCATTATAGAAATTGTCAACCGCGATCGTCCACTAAAACAATGCGGAATGCTGTAGTGCACGGAATGTTCGTATGTGAGAGACCAGGGTCTGATGCGTCCGACAGTGTCGGAGGCGGCTGTACGGCGGTTGTAACAAACGAGCGCTGTCGCCGCCACCGACGACGGTGCCGAAGTCTGCTATACTCCTGATCGCCGGCGGATCCTCCGAGGCGGTCCTGGGTCCGCGCACCGACCACGCCACGCCCGGTCCATCCGCCCTGGTCCTCCGACACGCCTGTGTAGGCGTTACGGGAGGACGAGTCCCTCT